GAGGAGGGCTGAGTAGCAGCCTGGGTGCCATAATCAGGTAAACTTGTGGTCAGGGCTGAAAGGCTCTGCAGGTCAGCCCCTCTGGAATTTCCCACTGCTCTAAAGCTTTGGAGAAAGTTCTAGACACAGTGAATGGATCTGAGGAGTGGCTGGTTTGCACTTTTGAGGGGTCCTGGCCAATCCCCAACAGGAGGGGAAAGGCGCTAAATCTGACACATAGGCATTGTATGAAAAGAGAGAAGGGCTGGTCCCACAGCTGCTCCAATAACCATTAGGTAGGAGTGATGTATGAATAAATAAAAACAAGAGAACATAGTGCTACACATTATGGTAACAACATCATGACGAGCAACTATTGTAAACCCACAGCAGGTAACTTTTACCTACATTACAATAGTTGCCACCATCCAGCCTGGCGAGACAACAGCCCCAGTGGCCAGTTCCATCGTTCGAGGCGCAATTGCTCAAGGGTAGAAGAATATCTTACACAAGTAATACCGTGATATAAAAATTTTCTGAAAAAGGCTATCCAGATCGCTTGATTTTAGAAGCACAGGCTAAACACTTTTCTGTTTCATCAAAAAGATGAAATCATTTTCCAATAACTCTAATTCAGTTAGATTTATCAGTGTGTTTAATAAAAGGTATAAGGCCATCTCAGGCATTTAACCTGTCAATCCATTCGTCACTGACTATCCAGATTTGAACATAGTAAGGGGAATCAATTTGTGATCAAACAGTTTATGACCTGGTCTTCTGAATATGTTCTTTATGTTTTACACTGTCCGTGTAAATTGCAATCTGATGGCCACACTGAGCACATTACATAAACCAGTCATGGAACATCACCGACTCATAAATGGCAATGACCAACACAGTCTGCCTCATCAGTTTCTCCAATATCATAATAAAGATTTCAAGAAAATGGAGGTCTTAGCCATAGAGTGCAATGATGACAGATCTTTGCAAGAGGGAAACCTTTAGAATATTTTAATTAAGTACAATGATACCGGATGGGTTAAATGAGGACCCTGAGATGCCTGTATATTGTAACATAATTTATAGTGTGTCTATATTCTCAGGATATACTGAGAGACAGGCACCTAGTGCATTTATCATGTTTGGTTCCTTCTTTCTTAAGTTGTAAATGTATCTATTACCAACATACAAGTAGATTGGGTGCCTTGAAAGAATCTATAGTATATACTACTAGTGCAGAATCTATAGTATATACTACTAGTGCATTATATAAAGTTTTTTTGCATTGATTCATTTGTTTAACTGCACCTTTTATACATTTCCTGTGTTCAGCAATAATGGTTATGTATTATGATGGTGGTTTATGAGACTAGCTTACATTGTTGTTGTTTACATTAGGTATGTATGCCTTTAAATTTCCAGCCTCAGTTCCCTCTGTGTTCTGTCCCATTCTTATGCTGAGCATTTAAGCACTTGCCCTCCTGAGGATTTACCCCCCTTCCTGACCAGGCCATTTTTTTAAGTTTCAGCGCTGCGTTATTTTAACTGACAATTGTGCAGTCATGCAATGCTGCACCCCAGTGACACCAATACAGTGATCAGTGCTAACAAAAAAAAAAAAAAAAAGTACCGACACTGTACTAATGGCACTGGGCAGGAAGAGGTTAACATGAGGGGTGATCAAGGGGTAAAACTGTGTGCAGGGAGTGTTTTACTAGGGGGTGGTGTCTGTGTGCTTCACTCAAAGCACACTGCTCTGGATGGCTGTGCACAGATTTAGGGGTAGGGGAGGGTGTGTGTGTGGTGTGTTATAGGTTGCGCAAGGGAACCGATAACGGAGGACAAACCTTCTGGAACTAATCACAAGGTTCTCTTCTGCAACACAATCTCTGTTGGAGCGCTAGCAAGCATCTCCTTGATGTACCACCCCCGACCCTAGCTGGAATTCTCTTAACCCAGCAATCTTGTGGTTTTCCTGAGCAGGGGATCTGGCTTCTGTTCCTTTAAATGAATTAACAGTCACTAGAAGGTATTAATCTGGTTTTCCACTAGAGTGCTCCTTCCTATATTCGCCCAGGGGGGGTGCAGGTGTACTCACTCAGATCCTCTTCTACCTGCTGCTCCCAAGCCTATCAGCTAGGCTGCTCCTTCCCTGCCATACAGGTGATCCTTTCCCAGGGGCCAAGTGAGCACAAAGTTTTCCTCCTTGCCAGCTCAAGGCTCGCAGGCAGGCCAAATCGCATTAGGTCTCCTGGCAGCCTCACATCTTATCCACACTCCTCTCCTTCCACCTGACTCCTGCTACGTTGCAGGCTCCTATACTTTTCAAGGGAGTCCCAGCCTCTTGCCAAGCTTCCTATTGGGGACTGGCTGAGGTCCCCCAAGAGTGCAGCCAGCCACTCCTCAGATCCACCCACTGCCTCCAAGGTCTACCAAATTCCAGAGGGGCTGGCCTGCAGAGCCTCTCAGCCCTGACCACAATTTGACCCCTCTGGCTATTACACCTGAGCACCTAACAGCTCCCGTCTAACCATTGGGATCTAGCATCAGAAACTGCTGTAAACAACTTTTGCTTGCAAGCGTACCATATGTAAGTGCATGTATGAGAACCATATAGGCAGGTACAGGTTTCTTATAAGATTTTTTTATGCTGTACCAATATACTAAAGCAAGCCTAGTTTGCATTAAGGATCACTGCATACAGGAAACATGTGTCCAACTTAGTGCAGTGTGATTCATTTAAAAAAAAAAAAAAAAAAAAAACCCACACACCTCAACACACAGATGTGAACCATCTGTGCACTGTGGTGCCACTGCAGGTCAATCAAAATATGCACTGTGAGGAGCAGTTATACGTCACAATAGTCAGACTCAGCCTTAAGAGAAATATCTAATGTGGGCCAAGTAAACCCCACTAGCTCAGGCACACCATGAACAGGGGGGAAAAAAAGAAAACAAATTGACATGAAAAAAAAAAGGACAAATCAAGAAAGCAAATTTAGATTTAGAAAAAAAAGCAGTCTCAAGAATTTATTTCATATTACCATTCACTGTACTCAGTCTGTACAGCAAATAAATGAACATATCCAGACCACGATAAAATCAAACAATGCACAATCTATACTGTGCAAGAAAAATTGCTAGCGACTGCCTCGTTGAAACAGAAGCCTATAGAAATAAAACATTCCACATATTGAAATTATACAGTAAACCAACTTCTGCAATTGTCTGAAAGAAAACACTAACAATCTGCTTTTTCCACACCTTGGGAAAAATTTATAAGCAGTTAATGTGATTTTCAGCATTCGCTGGTGATGAAACACTCATTTAAAAATATACACTAGGAAGATTCCCGTACAGTGAATTAGTGGCGATGTCAGATTCGCAGCTTTATAAAATATGCCCCCTTGGGTTCTATCAACAAAACTAACTGCTGATGACAGTGGTCTCCCAACTGGAAACTAAACATTTATAATCCTTATAAAATTCTTTCAAAAGAAAAGTGCCTTTCTTTAAAGCTATGTATTTTATACATGAGAACCTGGTTTCATCTCAGTGATCTCTTGAAAGAAGTGCAAGTTGCCCCTCGATATACTTTCCCATGGTGCAGACTGCAGCAGCAGACACCTCAGTAAGATTGAGTTTACTTCTGGTTCAAGCTTAGGAGTTCACCGAGAAGGTACACATCTATTGCCATTGAATTTACACCAAAGTGAATAAGCTTACAGGACTGGAGAGCACAGTGATTACTTCAGCAATCTGCTCTTTCATTGTCCACTTAGACAGGGGCAGATCCCAGACCAGGCTGCTTTGCTTAATTGCAGTGTAGTCGGCAGGGAGAGTTAGGAGCCAAATGTGATGCCTGTATCAAAACACTGGCTGAGCAGAATTATTATATACTTGATAGGCAAAACAGTTCAACTTTGCATTTAATTGCTTGCTTGGAGTTCAGCTTTAGAGCTGAATACCAGGAATTATTTGTTTGCAAGCTTATATTGGGCCAGCTTGGTTGGATGCAAGTATGCATATCGGATATCCAGAGGGCTGCTGGAGATACTGTAAATCACTTTAGTAGCTCACACTTAATACAGCAAGAGCCCTAATCTTTTGGGTTCTGTGCAAGTGGCTTCCCTTGTGCACACAGACCACAGGGAGACCCTTGCTCAGTACCTCTACCATTCATAGGACACCTTGTAATTTTTTTCAATGAATACAAGGTGTTCTTGTATTGAGTGAAAACAATACAAGGTGTTCTATGAATGGCAGGTGCTGAGGGAACAACTTCCGTCATCAGTGTGCAGAGAGAAAGCCGCTCTCAAACAGCCTGTAAGATCACAGCTCTCGCTGTATTTAATGCATGCTACTACAGTGATTTATGGCATCTATCCAGAAACCAGATACACATGCTTGCATCAAGCCAAGCTGGCCCAACGTAAGTATGCAAAAAATATAATTCCTGGTGTTCACTGTACACTACATGCTTAAACCTGATCATGTGTGCAGTTGTACTTCCCATTCCACTATAAATATTAAACCTTATAATTGCATTTTTAATCAAGTTAATCTTTGCTTTGAAAACTATCCTCTAGCAGGCAAAAAGCCTTCCGTAAACAAGTTAGTGGCTGATCACAGTTCCCAAATTGTACACCATGAATAGATGTACCTGTAGTCCTTATTGTAGGCTAGACATAGTGTTTTATTTCCTGCTGTTAGTCTGTGAATTAGTGCTTTGGAGTTGGTTGGCCTGCTCTGGGGAAGCACTAAAAAGAATGAGGTCTGCTTCAAATGAGTAACTAGTCACTAGTTGAACTCCAAAAATTCTTCTATTTTGACAACTTTAAGATTCCAAATCTGGAACTGCTGTCATTAATATTACCTGCTTAGCAGGTAGAAAACATGCAAACAGCCACTACCTGGCGCTGGTAGTTAAAAAAAAAGTCTTAACAAATTTTTCCCCAAGCATAATCTTGGCAGACAACAGACCACCAATAGGAAGCCAGAAACAAATTTATCTGCCACTCATTTCTTTTTTCGTTTGTTTTTTTTTTGCCCCACCTCTGATGCCCACCACCTCCCTCTCTTCTTTCTCCCCAAGATGGCATAGGAGGCTCGATTTCATTGGGTCTTCCTCCTCGATCAGGCACATTACCTGTCATTAGTACCTGTTATCAAAGCAAAAAAACAAATAAATAAATAAAATGATGCAAATACATTTAGGATCATTTAAATTATTAAAGTATTAAAGAAAACATCACTGTTAGTTTCAGCTCCAGAGCCAGTACACAGCTGAGGATCACTAATGTATGAGAACAGCAGTCTCTCTGTTGCAGTGAGATGCACCCACTGGTTAACTGAAAACTACAGATATACAAATCAGCAATGTTTACATTCCCTGCAGGCTACAAAGCTATAGGTCTTACCCAGCTTGAGGAAGTTGGCATCTGAATGCTGCAGAGAGACTGCTGTTTCCACACAGAACTCAGACTACTAACAGAAAGCAGGCTGCCACAGTAGTATAAAGCCAAAATATTACTCCCTCCCAATGCAATCTACATTCTAACAAACAGAGAATCCGGCTACAAAGAGTGCAGGCTACGATAATGTTACATTAGCTCACCAGCATTAAGTTAAGAAAATTAAAATCTGCTCTAGGTGGAGTTTACCATTTAAAAAGTGTACAAAAACATTCCCAAAAACTTGGATATTTATCAGTCCTGAAGGTTACCTTCTGGATGGAGCAGCGGGTTTTTTGGCAGGAAGAGGCACTGCAGGTATGGACAATGCGTGAATAGTCTTCCCGTGCTGCCAGTAGATGGGGGATTGTGATAAAAGATTCTGTTATAAGAGCCTTTCTGATAGGCCAGAAGACATTATTCATAGAGGGTCCTTGTACCTGTGTCAAGCAAGACAGACATAGCATTACCAACCAAGCAGTATCGTGCTGCAGTAGGTTACAAAGACTTGTAGCCCGCTTCTTTCATTGCATCATATCCATTTATCTGCAGTTTGAAATCTTAAGGCAATGCTTCCCCTGATTGCTAGTCTCAGGAGATTTGGCTTGAGATTTCAGCATGTCACTACTGTGCTGCTCGCTGTTCTCCTTGCTGGAGGCTCTGACATAAGGAAGCGGAGCCCTGCCTTCACACACACAGTGCATAACCAGGCAAGGTCAGCAAGTAATGGGGAGAGATTAAGCGGTAGGGAGACCACAGGCAATACTGCCGACTAACTCTTTGTGTCCCAAATAGAAGCAGGCAGAGGGCAGCTTCCAGACTTCAGTTACTCTTTAACCCTTTCACTGCCAAATATATACGTTGTATGGACCTGACAGCATTTGTTTATTTACAGCCTCAGGGATTGTGTGCACATCTGACAAGCAGATCAAGCCTGTCAGATGGAAGCATTCATGCGGCTGTGATGCCATCCGACTGCTTCCATGCACACACCCCACTATGTATCCCGGGCTCCGCTTGCCTATCTTCGGGCTTGGAAATGGCATAGTGGGTGCAACCGGATACAGTGGAGGGAGCAGAGCGGGCACAAGTCTGCTCTCCTCCCCTTCTTGTTGCTCACCAGTTGCTAAAACATCACTTCCAGTTCCCCACGTCAGTGTCCCCAGGTATCTCATGAGAGAACATGGCACAAAAAAAAAAAAAAAAAAAAAAAACAACACACCTATCACATAGGGGACTTTTTATCCTGTATGTGATGGGGACAAAAAAAAAAAAAAAAAAAAAAAAAAAGTTTCTTCCTACACTCCCTAAGACATGCTGGTAGATCAATTAGCTCCTGTCTAAATTGGCCCTAGTATGCAAGTATGAATCTAATGTCCCTAGGGGCACGGACTAATGAGAATGTGCAAAGTATGTGTAAAGTACTGCGTAAATGGACGGTGCCATATAAGTACTTAAATAAAATAAAGCGTTAATTACCATACAGGTTACATATTGCTGCGCACACCAGGATGAGTACAATATTTCTAGCACCAGACCTCCTTCGTAACGCCAAATGGATGACCTATAGGGTGTGGGTGGTGGGGTTTAAAGTGTCGCCTATGCAAGAATATAGGCTGCTGAAGGTTTGTCACCTTTTCATGGGCATCTATTTACTCAGTACAACCTCATCCTTTATATTTTACAAAAAAATGGGTAATTTATTGTATTTGTGTGCCCTAAAAATTAAACTTTAGCGTATTTTTTACTGAAACTTTGCATTTCCTAGACCTTTGCTGTAATATTGTGTGACATAAATTGCAACTACCACTATTTTTTACTCTAGGGTGTCTGCTTTCAGAAAATGTATAAATGTTTAGGGGGTTTATGCAGTTTTCAGGCCAAAAAAATATTTTATTTTTATTTTATTTTTTTTTAAAAACGTGTGCAAAAAAAAACAAAAAAAAAAAAAAAAAAAAAAAAACGCAAAGAGTGGCTCTGGCAGCAGAAAGGTTAAAATGGGGAAAAATATTTTTATATATTTGTTTGCTGCACTGCGAAACACCACTTCATTAAATCAGAAATTGTCCCCTGAAGTTTGCTTGAAAGGTTAAAAATTGTCCCCTGAAGTTTGCTTGAAAAAAAAAAAAAAAAAAAAAACTTAGGAGGTTGGAGAGCACTGCAGTGATCACACACTCAGTGCTGGTTTCCCAGCAAACTTCAAGAAAAAAAAAAAAAAAAAAATTTCTTGCTCTGTGGCGAGGGCAGCAGGAGCAACTTTTTTTTTTTATTTATTAGAGAAAAAAAGAATACATACCTAAATATATAAAAATGAGCCGAGGGGTCATAGTCCGCATTCCAACACTACAAGGAACGAAATAAGTCTAAGGGTGCAATCAGGGCAGCTTAAATAGTCACCAGGACCAGATGGCTTACACCCGAGAGTCCTCAGTCAGGTTATAGCCAGACCGCTATTCCTAATTTTTACAGACAGCTTACGGACAGGAATGGTATCAGTCAATTGGCGAAAGACCAGCATGGTACCAATATTTAAAAATGGACATAGATATATTCCTGGAAACTACAGGCCTGTGAAATTGAGGCCTGTTGGAGTGGACCATACGGTATATATTTGCACTGAAAACTGCATCAATGAAGGGACGGATGCCGCTCAAGACAGCCAAGAGTTCAGTGTGTAAAATGGTCTCAGCTGCTACTACGGCCATGCTCTGATGTGTTTTGCCCAAACTCACTGGGGCTTCATCACATGGGCAAGGCAAAACAAGAGGGCGTGGTCAGAGCAGCAGCTGTGGCTATCTTACACACCGGACTCTCTGGGCTGGTTTGAGTGGCATCCATCCCTTCATTGCGTCGGAGCTACTGGAAGCTTTTTGGGATGCCGCTCAGTCTCTGCACATACCAGCTCTCTTGCTTTCCAGTTTGAAGTGGCGCCATAAGGTCTTCTCTGCAGTTTGCACAGAAAACTGGTTACAGTTGAGTGCATCCAAAGGTTGGAAAGCAAATAAATGGCGTGTACGCAGACTGGTCTGGAGTGGTAAGTTGGGTTCCCCAAGGCTGTTCTGTTTAATCTATTCATAAAATGACAGAGGTTGGTATAAATAGCTCAATCTCAGTGTTTGCCGATTAAACAAAGCTAAGCAGGGCAATAACTTCACAGCAAGGTAGAAAAACTTTACAAGAAGACCTCAATAAAATAAAAGAGGTGTGGGAAACTACATAGCAAATGAGGTTTAAAATGTTGAAAAATGTAATGCATTTGGGGCTAAAAATATGAATGCAAGTTACTAACTAGGGGAGAACCTTTGGGGGAATCCAGGATGGAAAAAGATCTGGGGGTCCTAGTCGATAACAGACTCAGCAATGGCATTAAAATGCCAAACTGCAGCAAGCAAACCTAGCTGAATAGATTTGCATGCATAAAAAATATTTACTCAAGAGATAAAACAATCCTGTCACTTTATAAAACTCCGGTTTGGCCACATCTCGAGTATGCCATCCAGTTCTTGTCACCAGGCCTCATGAAGGATGACCTGAAACTGGAAAGAGTCGAGAGAAGGGCAACAAAGCTAATAAGGGGACAGAAGGACCTCAGTTATGAGGACCAACTACAAAACGATAAACTTATTCTCACTGGAGAAGAAATGTTCGATACCGCAAAGGTGATTCTAGCATAGGAAATAAACTAATCAGTGTCTGGGAGCTTAAGAAGACACAGAGCCACTCAATGACACTGGAGAAGTGGTTTAAACCGTAGGGGGATCTTTATTATCAAAATGAGTAAGGATGTGGCACTCCCTTCCACAATTGGTGGTGTCAACAGGCAATATGGATAGTTTACAGTGTGAATTCGCCCACAGCACTTTACAACTGTGACAGCTCTGTTGCTGGTTGCGCTAGGGGGCAGTGTGGTGCGTCATTCCGCCCATCACACGTCTCCGTTTTTGTTTTGTATGAGCTTTATTTGAAACGTACAAAACATACACTTCATTCACTACACTGTGCTGCTGCCCGACACTGCAGTGCGGGGTGAATGGGACACAGGAAAAAGCACATAATTGGCCCTTCAGGTCGGGGCCTCTGAAGTCAGAGGAATAACTATTCAGTCTTAGGGAGCTTAAGACGACATGGGGGGGCCACTGAATGAAATTCCAGGAGAAGTGGTTTAACCTTAAAGCGGAGTTGCACTCAAAGTGGAAGATCCGCTTATTTACCTTCTCCCCCCTCCCCCTACTGCCATAATTTGGCCCCTTTTGGGGGCAGTGGATACCAGTTTTTGGTAGGTACCCGCTCCCACTTCTGGCTCAGTTCACCGCGGCGAAGTGAGCCAGAAGTACGGCCCCCTCTTTCTTCCCACAGTCTCCTGAGAACCTTCACAGGTCCCAGAAGACTGCCAGAAGCAATGAGAATGCGCATGCGCAGTTGGCACCAAGCTGTGAAGCCGCAAGCTGTCACAGCCTGGTGTCCACAGTTGTGATGCCAGCACCGAGGAAAGAAGAAGAGGCAGAGAAGAGACCGCGCGGGTGAGCATATCGCTGGACCCTGGGACAGGTGAGTGTGTTTATTATTGACTTTTAATAAACACAAAAAACTGCCTGGAACTCCACTTTACTGTCATCCGAGTGTTAAGGATGTGGGAACTCCCGCCCCTTCGGTGGTGTCAGCAGGAAGTAAAATCAATAGTTTTAAAGTTTTTAGGTCCAGGCCTCTGCTGTCCTAGGGGAAAGGGACGAGGCCTCTGATGTTATCATGGCAAAGGGGACGGGGATCTCAAAGTTTACATCTGTTTAACTACAAATTAAAATGTTTCTTATGTGAGGACCTCTGACCTTTGCTCTCTCAGACCAGTGAAAGGATTGCACAGTGACATCAAATCTTGTGATCAGCATCCGCATTCTACACTCATACTCTCTGAGCATAGCCCAGTGTAAGTCTTGCAGCATCTCCTGTGGAAAGAGTAGAATTGTGTTACTCAAACCCAGTGGCCAGTGCACAGTGGTTGCTTTAGAAAGTACATAGTTCCATCTAATCAAAAAACAGAGGCCTCAGTTGCATACATTTGCAGAAAAAAAAAATGTGGAAACTGCACACAATGTCGAAGAGGGGTTTATTGCAATGGATATAAAATCTTCTTCAATGCAGTGCAACTGAAGTGGACAAGAAAAGCACCATCCATGGACACTGTTGTGTGGCCTTTTCCAGGCAGTGCATATGCACCCCCCATTTAGGTCAATCTAAACCATACTACACAGCCCCATTTACAACTTTCCAGGTTGCACTGACTGGAAACGTCAGGGTCTCCAGGGCCCCTAATTTCAACAAAAAATTAATCAGGAAAGACAGCAGCAGAGACAGAAAATCTATGCCAACTTCCAGCACTGCAGAAGAGTGCTTAAAGTGGTCATACAGATTCCTCCATCCACACTAAACAGAGCAGATGGTCAAATTTCTCCTGCCTGTCTATTGTATTCAACTCCAGAGGCTGTCAAGAATATCTAAGCAGTGGCTGCATCTGAGAGAATGACAGTCAGCTGACACCTTTTCACCTGGCTCCTTCAACAAAAGTGGATTGTTAACGACTTGAACTGGATGATGCAGAAAGGATCAGCCGTGGCTTGAATTTCAGCCAATTCAGCATGAATTAGCCAAAATTCAAGCTGTGTATGGCAGCCTTTACTGTGTGTAGTTTAACCACTTAAGCTTCAGAAGATTATACCCCCCTTCATGACCAGGCCATATTCTGCTATTCAGCACTGCACTAATTTAACTGGCAATTGCGTAGTCATGCAACGCTGTGCCCAAACAAAATTAATTCCCTTTTTTGTTTTTTAAACATTTCTTCATAAAATTTAGGCCAAAATGTATTCTGCTACATTTCTTTGGTAAAGTAAAAAAGACCAATAAGTGTTTATTAATTGGTTTGCGTGAAAGTTATAGCATCTACAAAGATTAGGATACATACTGGAATTTCTTTTTCTTTTTACTAGTAACAGTGGCAATCAGCAATTTATAGTGGGACTGCAATAGTTTGCCGAGCAATCTGACAGTTTGACACTTTTTGAGAACTGACAAACTCCAGTGACACCAATACAGTGATCAGTGCTTATAATATACACTGTCGCCATACTAATGACACTGGCTGGGAAGGGGTTAACATCTAGGAGCAATCAAGGGGTTGTGTGCTTAATAAGTGTTAAAGTGTGTACTATATGCTGCTATTGACACCACATCCATTTGTTTCTTTTCCCTGCTTAGCAGGAAAAAGAAACCAACCAACCATTCCCTCTGTATAGAGCCCTGTTTATCAACAGGGCTCTAGGCTGTGATTCGATACAGCTGATCAGCAGGTCCCAGAATCATTGGCCGGGATCAGATGACAAACTTCTACTGTGTCAAATCACAGGGAATTGGGTGGGGGCGTCAGCCCGAAACAGGCTTCGACATACCAGTACACTGCTGTGCCTGTAGCTGCTGCCCCAGAGCATTATATGTACTGTGGCGGGTAAGCATGTGGTTAAGCAAAGACTGCTCAACATACAGCTGCACTTTAGCAAAATATTAATACTTGAGCTGAAAAGGTAATAGAAAAATGTAATCTGCTTCCTCCTTACCCACTGTTCTGGTCGTAACTCTGTTTTCAGCAAAGGAGGAGACATAGGTACATCTGTAGACAGCGCAGTTACCTAAAAAAAAAAAAAAAAAAAGGAGAAAGATAGATTGAGAATATTTTTTTCTCTCTTCTGAAAAATGAATGAAAAATTATTCTGTTGCACATGGCAACTATATTGCAGCAGTCAATGTTTTCTAATGCCAGTTAAGTAACTTAACACCTGACCAGTTCCTTGGATGACAACCCAATCCTTTTCCCCAGGTTCTACACAAAGTCACTATATCCTAACTGTCCACATGGTCTTGAAACAACCCAAGCTCTGCTTTATGGAAGCCAGGAATTCCAACTGTAGCACAGCAAAGGACTTTCAAATCTGAAAACAGCTGCATGCAAACTGGATAAATGGTTCTGTCTTGCTGGCCATACACAGCTAGAAATGCATTCAATACACTTGATCATTGGAAACATTAGCGGGCTAATTTTGATCAAAATGCAAAGTTTTATGCCCAAAAAAAAAAAAAAAAAAAAAAAAAAAAAAAGGAAGGGGTCATGTCTGATTTTTTTGAGCCAAAAAGGATCAATTTTCTAAACATCAGTAGTGTAATAAATCGAAAACAGTTTGAAAAAACCTACAGCGCATGTGCATGTCCAAATGTAACCCCAGAAGTACAAACACCGAAAAAGTAGCATCTGCTTTTTAAATACAGTTGATGAGTGGGAGGGTTCACAAAAGGGTGAACAAAAATCTTTGCATCATTTCCACTGATTGACGAAAAATGGACCATTTAATGTTGTTGACAAGTGATAATACACCGCGTGCACAATTACGAGGCAAGTTGTATTTTTGATGATTATTTCATTATTGAACAACTACAGTCAGCCAATCCAAAATGTTAGCAAACATCAAACCCGAATCAATCTCTCTCTCTCATAGCCACCCTTCTTTTCAATAACAGTCATAACCGTAAATCTCCCATTTAAGAAGGGCCCACAAGTTCTCAATAGGGTTTAGGTCAGGTGAGGGAAGGGGGCTACGTCATTCTTTAATCTTTAAGGCCTTTACTGGCTAGCCATGCGGTGTAATACGTCAATGCATGGGACAGAGCATTGTCCTGCATAAATATTGTGGTCTTCTTGAAAGATGCAGATTTTTTTTTTTCCTTGTACCATTGCATTAAGAAAGCGTCTTCTAAACCTTCATAAATATCTTGGCCTTCTTGAAAAATGCAGATTTTTTTTTTTACACTGTACAACTGCATGAAGAAAGTGTCTAAAAACTGGCAGTAGGTTTGGGAGTTGATTCTGAGTACATCTTCAAACCGAAAAGTTCCAACTAGCTCATCGATAATACCAGCCCATACCAGTACCCCACCTCCACCTTGCTGGCATTGGAGTTGAAGTGCTCTTTGCCCATTACTGATCCAGCAACACGCCTATCCATCTGGTCAATCAAGAAACCCTCTCATCAGTCCATAAAACCTGTGAAAAATCTGTCTTCAGATATTTCTTGACCCTGGCTTGACATTTCAACTTATATCTTGTTCAATAGTGGTTGGGTTTCAGCCTTCCTTACTTGGCCATGTCTCTGAGCACTGAACACCTTGTGTTCTATCTCTCCAATCTAAGCATTGAAAGTGTGACCTCTGTAATTTACAGTTGTGATGAGATAGCGATAACTCCAATCTCAGTTGGATACCACAGTCAGTGACTCAAATCGAGCTGATATCTTTTAGATCTTGTGAAGTGTATTCCATAAACTGAGAGAATCTTACAACAATGAACATCTGATAGGTCAAAAGATCATAATGTGACCTGCTTCATGACATGAGGCTTACTGCAATGCCTTACTGGGAAAAAGGGGTGGGCTATCTATATAGCATTAACTAAACCAAAGGAAAGGGAGGAGCAGAGACAAAATATTGAAAACACTTAAAGGCATATGACAGTCATGTGAAACATGACACCTTGTACTCCAGGTAGGTTGTAATTCTGCAATATGACAGCACTGGAGGATAATAGGTAGCTTCACGTTTGAGGATTCTCAAATCTTTGCCAGTTAATTTGTGTGTCTCTCAACACATTTCTTGCAACCCTGTTGACTATTTGCAACACAACGTTATATCTTAGCAATTTCAAGAGTGCTGCATCCCTCTAACAGACTTTTTACAATTTTTGCCTTTTCAGAGTCAGTTAAATCTTTTTTGTCCCATTTTGCCTCAGGAAAAGCTGCCTAATAATTACGCACACCTTGATATAGGGTGTTGATCTCCTTCGGCCACACCCTCTCTCATTACACATCTTCTTATATATGCTTAAATCCAATAAGCATTGAAGTTTATACACCTTAGAGTTGGACAATATGTATAAAAATTATGATTTGGTCAAAATACTCACTTGCCCAATTGTGCATGTCGACAACTGGAGGAAATGTTTCAATACAATGATGGTGTTATCACATGCATGCTCAACAGACCTTTAAAAATCCAACTTTTTTTCCCGAATTAATTTTTAAACGGTGTATAGCCAGCATTAGATTGAGGCGGAGCTATAATCCAATAGATCTGTACTCTAATTGGTCATGAAGCCAAAAAGGAATCATTTAATTTACTCGGTTCTCTCCACAAACTCTTACAAAGGTTATTGTGTTTTATGCATTATAAAAAGTACCTTGTCCTCCAACTGCTTAATTAAAGTAGCCACTGGGACCTCTGGAGAAGTCTCGGGTAACTCGAAAGCTTTTCTGATCAGCTCTAGCTCGTATAGGACTTGTGGATCTGTAGGCTCAGAATCAGGAATGCTGTGCAGATTTAGGATTCTGGCTGCTTCCAGCTCTGTGCTTAGGAAAACTGAAGAAAACCAGGCGTTTAAAAAGAAAAACAAAAAAACACAAAACACAAAAAAAAGAGTTTACATCCCAAAAATACTTTAAAAGTGTTAAAAGGCCAACTATACAACTAATTTTTTTTCTATAAACGTTCCTTTGCCCCCTTCCTTCAATCTAACCTGCACAAAAAAAAAAAAAAAAAAAAGGGAAGGATCTGTGTACTTTTTTAAATCTGGTCCAATCATGTGATCCAGGAGCTCTAGCTCCCATGTGTAAGGGACTGCTCACAAGAGCTGTGGAATTCCTCGAGCCATGACATCACCCATAGCACATCTGCTGTTGGCACCCCTCCTCTCCCCTGCAATAGAACCTCACTGACAACACAGGGGAGCCAGAGCGGTTAGATCACCTGACCAGACCAGACTACAATAGTAAGTACACAGACCAATTTAAACAGAGTATGCAGGATAGGGAAGGGGGGGGGGGGGGGGTCTTTAAAAAGAAATAATCATACTTACCTATGTGGATGCAGCATTGGTCCAATGTTACATTTGTCCCCCATCGGCTCGAAGGGTGAGGACTCAGCAGTCACATGACCACTGATCACAGAATTCTCAGTCGCTCTGAGGAGAGGGAGAGACCGACCTTATCCGATGTGGACACCGATATGGCTGCTGCAAAGTGGAAGCACGCAATGTGCACAGACACACAACCTTAAGTTTGTGTGCGAGAAGGTAGCAGAGATCAGGGCATGGGGAGGTGACAGTCAGGTGATTTGGTGGAAAGCTTCTCTTGCACGTAAAGAACATACTGCAGCTTCCAGTCTTGCTCCCCCCCTCCTCACAGGATTTCACCCAGGGCAGTAGCCTTTTCTGCCCACCTCTCCTCCCAGCCCTGCAAGCAACAGATGGATGGGGATCCGTTCCCAGTCAGATGTAAAATGGTCAAGCTGTCCGTTTACATCCATCTGCCCCATAGAGAACAGCAGGCTGTGTCCATGTCCACTGAACCCCACTGAGCAAGCGGATCCGCTTGGGGGGGCCCCATGTCATATTTGAGCAATAGCAAGAGGTTTTACGCACACACTCCCGGCTGCAAATGTGTGTGAATGCTACAAGCCAGCTGTTGACTTCAGATGAAAGCAAGCACTTCATGGATCCCATGCGACACCTCTCCCTTCTACTATGTATCCTGGGACCAGCAGGGTGGGTGTTTCCCAGATAGAGAGGAAGACCAGAAAACTTATGTTTGCTGATCTTCCCTAGCTAGTAAGAACCTCAATGTTGACTTTGTCACTTCTGAATTCTGCAGTCACTTATCCTGGCTGCTGTGGATGGGGTGATGCTAATGGAGCACAATCGGCACTCCAATAGCTTCAGTGGTGTGCATGTAGGATTTCAAACAACTGCCAGTGTATTTTCTGGGTCTGCAGGCTATTATCACAACAGTTAATGTCAAAGTGCATGCAGCTACAATCAGGAAGAGACAGCACCAATTCAACCACTGAACATATAGGCAAAGAGATTCGGCCATGGACTACTGAATCAAAAAGATGTTTTTGGCCACAGAAGCAGTAGATATGTTTGGTGGAAACAGAAGACAGCATTTCAGGAGAACCTCATATCAACCAAAGCATGGCTTTAGGTCCTCAGGAGCTTGCAGTCATGAAGTAAACTATAAATTCTGCATCATATAAAAAGTGGAAGATGTAAAAGCTCTCTGTTCAAAACTTGAAGTTGAATTGGAAAAGGATCAGCATGATAACCATGCAAAAGCACATTAACATTAGCAAATCCACCAGGAAATGGCTCAAGGTAAAGAACAATCTTCTGAAATTTTAATATTACAAATACATTTTAAACACTAGCCATTTTTACCAAGAAGCTGCAGGCAGTTGGAAGAACTGTAGAGTCTGGAGGTAACATTTCCAGTGGTCAGGGATGAGTATGGACAGTGGAGCTCGTTCATCACACCACTTATTTCCAGCTGAAAGGTCTCCGAATCAGTCGGGCCTGGGGAGGTAATGGACTGTATTAGAGAGAGAAGAAAACAAGAAAACCCTGTGAATTCTCTTTCCCATCCTGAGCCAATAATCCCATACACAGAAATTGTGCATTTAAACTACAGGCATTACAAAAAAAAAAATTCCATAAAAAAATAAATAAATCAAACAACTGCACTTTAGTTACATTTCTTTAAAAACCATAATGTCCTTATGATATTACCTTGTGATGCAAGTGTGATTAATATTTGCAGTTTGTTTTTTTTAGTTCACATGCCTTTATCAGGTTTAGATTTTTGGCAGTGTTTTAGCTGTCATAAAGAGAGGTATTCCGGTAAGTAATGCGTATGCTTCCCAGATCGCTTTTTCCTGCATTTAAATGTTCCTGCTATAAAGCGAATCTCCATGTTTTATTTAAAATTAAATAGTTTTTTTCCCCACCACGCTGGTTCAAACTAACCATTTACTTCAACAGCTGCAGCAGCTGTGTGTGCTGTATAAACTGTACAATGCATCCAGAAAGTATTCACAGCGCTTAACTTTTGTCACATTTTGTTATGTTACAGCCTTATTCCAAAATGTATTAAACTAATTTTTTTCCTCAACATTCTACAAAACAATACCTCATAATGACAATGTGAATGAAGTTTGTTTTCAAATCTTTGCAATTTATTAAAAATAATTTAAAAAAAAAACACATGTACCTAAGTATTCCCAGCCTTTGCTCAATACTTTGTTGAAGCCCCTTTAGCACCAATTACAGCCTCAAGTAGTTTTGAGTATGATGCTACAAGCTTGGCACACCTATAATTGGGCAATTTCTCCCATTCTTCTTTGCAGTGTCTCTTAAGCTCCATCAGGTTGGATGGGGATCATCAGTGCACAGCCATTATCAGATCTCTCCAGAGATGTTCAATCGGATTCAAGTTTGGGTTCTGGCTGGGCCGCTCCAGGACATTCACAGAGTTGGCCCGTTGCCCGTCCTTTGTTACGTAGGCTGTGTGCTTAGGGTCTTTGTCCTGTTGAAAGATGAACTATCACCCCAGTCTAAGGTCCAGAGCGCTGTGGAACAGGTTTTCATCAAGGATGTCTCTGTAAATTGCTGCATTCATCTTTCCTTTGATTCTGACTTGTCTCCCAGTTCCTGCCACTGAAAACCATCCCTACAGCGTGATGCTGCCACCACCACCATGCTTCACTGTAAGGATAGTATTGGCCAGGTGGTGGGCGATACCTGGTTTCCTCCAGACATGACGCTTGGCATTCAGGCCAAAGAGTTCAATCTTTGTTTCATCAGACCAGAGAGTTTCGTTTCACATCGTCTGAGAGTCCCTCGGGTGCTTTTTGGCACACTCCAGGCGGGCTGCCATTTGCCTTTTTACTGAGGAGTGGCTTCCTGTTTGGCCACTCTACCATACAGGCCTGATTGGTGGAGTGCTGCAGAGATGGTTCTTTTCGAAGGTTCTCCTCTCTCTCCCCAGAGAAACACTGAAGCTCTTTTAAGAGTGATCATCGGGTGCTTGGTTACCTCCCTGGTTAAGGCCCTTCTCTCTCAATCGCTCATTTTGGCCGAGCGGCCTGCTCTAGGAAGATTCCTGGTGGTTCCAAACTTCTTCCATTTACAGATGATGGAGGCCACTGCTCACTGGGACCTTCAATGCTGCAGACATTTTTCTGTACCCTTCCCCAGATCTGTGCCTTGATGCAATCCTGTCTCGGAGGTCTACTGACAATTCCTTGGATTTCATGGCTTGGTTTGTGCTCGGACATGCACTGTTAACTGTGGGACCTTATATAGACAGGTTTATGCCTTTCCTAATCATGTCCAATCAACTGAATTTCCCAAAGGTGCACTCCAATCAAGTTGTGGAAACATCTCAAGGATGATCAGTGGGAACAGGATGCACCAGAGCTCAATTTTGAGTGTCATGGCAAAAGCTGTGAATACTTACTATATGTACTTGTACACGTGTTCCGTTTTTTATTTTTAATTGCAAAGATTTAAAAATTAACTTTTTTCACGATGTCATTATGGCGTAGTTTGTAGAATGCTGAGAAAAAAATTAATTTAATCCATTTTGGAATAAGGCGGTAACATAAAATGTGGCAAAAGTTAAGCGCTGTGAATACTTTCTGGATGCACTGTATGTGTCCTCAGCTTCATATAGTATACAACACTGTGTTCCACCAGCAGGATGAGAACTTCCTTTTCGGAACAAAATCAAGTCAAACTAAGCACTGTTCTGCCATTCAAGGGAAGTTTTTTTTTTTATCTCTCTGCCTGGGACAATTAGAGGCAGCTTTGCATTGTATTCATTTGTAGTATACAAAGCATCCTCTGAATGGATGAGCAGTGCTAAGCCCGACTCAATTTTTGTTCCAGGAGAGGGGCAGGAAGTTCTTAGTTCCAAGTTTATCCAAATGAACCACTAAGTTTTTTTTTTTTTTTTAAACACACTACATAAAGATCAACTTTAAAGCCCTCTCTAAGCACAGCTAAACTGACTGCACCAACATACATGTAAAGACCCAGTGTAAATGGCACCATTAAAATATTACATGCATTTGTACATACACTGCTCCAAACAATTAAAGGAACACCTTTTAAATTAGAGTATAGCATCAAGTCAATTAAACTCCTGGGATATTGATCTGGCCAGTTAAGTAGCAGAGGTTTTTTTTTGGTTTTTTTTTTTAATTTAAATATTTTATTACTTTTCAATATTTCCATTTAACATCCATAAATAATCATATTATTCAAATATACAAAAACATTACCATTTAAAAAAATCCCCCCCCCCCCCCCCCCCCCCCCCCCCAGTCATTCGCCCCCTCCCCTCTCCCCCTCAGGCTCCATATTCTTCCATGTTCTCTTCTATCCATCTCTTTTTTCTTTCTCAATTTCCTCCTGATCTCTCTTCCATTATATGGTTTTCGATACACCTAGCATTTTTCTTGAAGTAATTTTATCTTCCTCTATATGGCAGAGTTCCTCCATCTTATATACATAATCTACTCTACTTATCCAGTCCTTTATTTACGGTACTTCTTGTTTTTGCCAGAATTTAGGTAGGAGTCCCTTTGCCGCATTTATAAGGTGAAATATCACCATATTTTTACATTTTGCTACTGTGATCTCCGTTTTATGGAGTAAATATGTACCTGGTTCTGTCGGGACACTAACCCCTATAATCTCCTGTATTTGCTGTATTATTTCACCCCAGTACTTCTATATCTTAGGACACTCCCACCAAATATATATCATTGTGCCTTCTCTCTCACGTCCCCTCTAACATAAGGGCGATTTATCTATTTGTATTCCCTGTGCCACACTAGGTGTAATGTACCACCTAACTAAACACTTCTAATTAATTTCTACCACCTTCATGTCTACATCCCCATATGCCAATCTATATATTTTCTCTCTCTGCTGCTCATCTAGTACAATTTCCAAATCCCTGTCCCACTTTTTCATATCCGGGGAGTTGGAGCGATTCCTGATTCTACAGTGAGGATTTTTATAAATAAAAGTACCGTTTTTGTATCCCTCTTCTAATGTACAATTGTTCAAATGGGTTAAAATCTGCCACGGTCCTAAGGGACTTGGGGAGTGTTACTACAAAATGTCTTAGTTGAAAATAATGCCACTCATCTAACCTTGAGAACAACTCCTTTTTTTTTTTGTAGCTCCTTAAAAAGGAGCATATTTCTTCCCCTTTCAATATATCTTAACTGTGCATCATCTTTTTTTTTTATCCATTTACGTGAGATATTTTCTCTTTCTCACCAATGGCATCAGTATAGTATTAAACTCCCACCCCTTTTGCTTCTGAATTATATCCCAAACGCTAATTACATTTTGTGTGTAAGTGCTTGTGCGCTCTGCCATCTTACGATACTGGTGCCGTAACCATACCATCTTATTCAATTGTGTCCCGCTTAACATGTTTATATCCACCCAGCATTTCCTTAGTGAATGTGTCCAATCAAAAATACGTGACAATAACACAGAGTGGTAGTATCTCCTAAGATCCAGCACGTTTAGTCCCCCGCTCCCCTTATCTCTACATAATACTTCATAACTTATTCTCTGTCTTTTATTCTTCCAGATAAATCTCAATATTAATTTTTTAACTATCTTAAATAGATTCCCAGGAGCTGTATAGGTAGCATATGGAATTTATATAACATTTTCGGGACAATTACCATTTTTTACCAAATGTATTCGTCCGATCCAAGATATAGGTCCTACCGCTAATCTCCTTAATTTCGTTTATTAATGGGATATAGGTTATTTTATACAAATTCTTTGGAGGAGGGGGTCAATTTTATTCCCAAATACTTTTGTTCTTTTTCCCTCCATTGAAAAGGGAATTCTCTATACAGAGCATCACTTTCAGTTGTCGAAACACCGATATTTAAAAACTCAGATTTTACCTTATTCATTTTTAAATATGACTGCTCTCCATAGTATTTCATTATTTTCCTCAGATTAGGTAGTGTCAGTCTGGGATTAACCACATAAAACAGCATATCATCAGCATATGCTACTTTATGTTCCGTCTCCCCTATCTTTATTCCACTCATGTCTGTACTATTCCTAATCATTGCCAAGAGGTTCCAGAGACAAAACAAAACCAGTAACGGTGAAAGTGGACATCCTTGTCTTATCCCATTATACATCCTGAAGAACCCCGACAACAAACCATTGACCTTTACTGCTGCCGACGGTCGACTGTATAATTTTCTTATCCACGCTCTCATTTTGGGACCAATTCCCAGCTCTTCCAACGTTCCTAACAAAGTCCCAATCTACCCTGTCAAAAGCTTTCTCGTCTACTGATAGTATCAGGACAGGAAGTTTTTCCTTATTACTTTTTTGAATGTGGAGTAATGACCTCAGCCCATTATCTCTACCCTCACTTCCAGGGACAAACCCCACCTGATCTAGGTGGATCCAGTCCAGCATTAGGTCTTTCAACCTACTTGCCAAGACCTTTTTGTATAATT